TGATAAAATGAAAATAAGTTAGAATAGGAAATATTCAAATTTAATATAATGGCCGATGTTTTGACATACATCTCTTAAAAATTAAGACAGATGAGGTTTTGTTGAAATTGGAAGCAGCTTAGCTAGTCTGAATTCCAGGTGGTTTCAAAATTTGGATGAACTTTTTGCTAAAATTTCATATATGTAACCCTAATTTGCTAGAATCTCTTGACCATTGATCTTGTTGAACTTTTTCCAGTTCAACCAATTTAACACCAGTGAATAAGAAAATCAAAAGTAATTTTACATGACTTGCCTTGGATTAATCTATCGAAACAAGTGTAAAATGAGTGATCAATTCATCCACCCTTTTTTCATGGTTTGGGCTACAATTAAATTTTGGAACTTGTTCGTACAATGTCGTAACTTTTGATACTTGAATATTGACTCGAAGCATTTTCTTTTCACTTTCTTATCCTGAAAAATTAGCAGCAATATTGGTTCTTAAACCCTAGCCATATCCACATTATACCAACACCCCTCCAATTTTCCACGCAGAGAAAATAAAAGTGGCAAGAATATAATAATCAATCCACTTGAAAAATTGCAAGAATAAGTAGGAGATCATGGAATAGCATTTCTAGACCTTAATTTTCTTAATTTCCTGCATATATAATCTGAATACAATTTTACATTATCATATATGCCTCCCACCATTCATCATCCTCCAAATACCTGCCCTACCAAAGGCTACCCAGTATAACAGCACTAAACGGGTGACACCAACAATTAAAAAAGTTCAATTTACAAATTATCAAATGAATATTAGAGTACCCTTATATATGAAGCAATGCTACGGCCATAATTTACAATTTTACAACCATTTTCTGTTTTTTTTTTTTTTCTTTTCCATTTTTCTTTTTCATTTTTCTATAAGCTAGTTTCCCTTACTCAATCTTATATGCATGAAGAAACAGGCAGAAGTCAGAAGATGTTGAGTTACTAGTCTGAGTTGAATAATAAGGACTGCTATTATCACTGTTTATGCTGCCGTTGCCAACTCAATTGAATTATCATTTATCCCATTATTGAATTGGTTGGAATATCACACACGGTTCTATTCACTTGCCAAAACAATCACCTTGCTTTTCTCAATGTCCATATGCCCTACACGTTGCAGATGCCTATCTAATTTGCTACTGGAGTTCATCCTCTTTGTAAGTTACCTATGCATGCATGAAGACCATGCATCCTAACATTTATGATTAAACCCCCATGCTGCTCCAATCCGATGACAAGAATCCCAAACCCATTTGAACCACACTACTTGCTTGGAGGTATAATTTGCATCCTATTATCTCGTTTAAATCCTTTATCCAAAGGATAATAACGAATAATGAATAACAGCATGCTGGCATGCGTGATCTTAGGCCTGGTTAGGTGATCTCGCCATCACAAATGTGATTGCATTCGAACACCTCTTGATATTTTACTCATGTGATGATCTAGAACTCTGCTCATTCAAAGGTTTTGATTACTTGGGTCCATAGTGTACTTTTAGGTCCAAACAAATTACCAACTGTGATTCTTCTGTCCCACCAAACTACATACTAATTAAACTAATTAGCAAAGTAAAACCATCTTTAGTCTTTAATATCCAAAGCCCGAAAAATGTTGCCCTCCCTTTGTGAACCAAATACAGAAAGAATATAACCCATTTGCTATCAAAATTTTATACAAATATGTACTAACTAAACCAATTATCGAGAGAATTTAGCCGATGCTAGCATCCAATACTTGATTCACCAATCAATTTAGATGTTTTGCTCTCAATCCTAAAGCATCCGATATCATTGGAGCCCATCACCAATGATGCACATCACACTATAAACCAAAAGGGAGGCAAAGTAAATGACCAAAAAAATTAATTAAATTAAAATCCCACAAAACCAAAGGAAGAGGCGTGGAGCCTCTCCTCATCTAGAGACTGCAAAATCCAAATTCATCACATATATTTTGCTTCTCACGCATAATAGAATTCTGGCTCTTTGGAATATCTTCACACGAAGAATATGCAACAAATCTACTTAGTTTTAACTTCGAACTCACAGTTGAATTTAAAAGATATTGAATAGAAGGGCAATGATCAGAAGATCAGAGTAACATGTTGGATTCATCATTTTTGAGAAGAGATAAACCTTTCATTTAAGCTAACACATCAAATTACACTTCACTGGATAAGGAGTACATTCTAAGAACGGACAGAAAGAAAACAAAAAGAAAGAACACAGAACAAATATAACTATTATACCAAAAAGCTCAAAATATGTTAATCAACAATTAAGTAATAATTCAATTATCAACAACCACGTCAATTGGTTTGTAAATTTATTAAAAAAAAAATTAATCTCCCTATTATTATAATTCCATCATTTTTCATGTACTTCTCACTTTTCCCTAAAAATTCCTGACAATTCCAAATCCAACCGAAAAATCCCAGTAACTCCGTCCAAAAGATACCAAAATCATTGGAATGGAATCGGTTTCCATATCTCATTGATCGGTAAATCCCAAAAAGATACCGAAATCTTTATTTTCCTTTAGCAAAGAGCAAAGAGCAAAGAACAAAGAACCCACTAGCAAAAGGCGCCAAAAAATAAAGGAAAGGCAAGTCATATCTTGTTGGATAAAGCGAAAAGGGGAAAAAAATAATAATGAAAAACGATTTGAAACTTTGAATTTTAACAGTAGTGATGTCGTCATTTTGTGCCCGTGGTCAAACGAGTGTCTATATTTACACGTTTTTGGAAGTTACCTTTTGGTCCCTTATCCTGATGTAATCCGGACCCTTTATCTCGATTTCTCTTCTGCCTCACGCTGCTACGTGGCAAACGCCAACTCCCATTCTCTCTTTTCAAAGAACCCACTAGCAAAAGGCGGCAAAAAATAACGGAAAGGCAAGTCATATCTTGTCGGTTAAAGCGAAAAGGGTAAAAAAATAATAATGAAAAACGATTTGAAACTTTGAATTTTAACAGTAGTGATGTCGTCATTTTGTGCTGGTGGTCAAACGAGTGTCTATATTTACACGTTTTTGGAAGTTACATTTTGGTTCCTTATCCTAATCTAATCCGGACCCTTTATCTCGATTTCTCTTCTGCCTCACGTTGCTACGTGGCAAACACCAACTCCCATTCTCTCTTTTCAAAGAACCCACTAGCAAAAGGCGGCAAAAAATAACGGGAAGGCAGGTCATATCTTGTCGATTAAAGCGAAAAGGGTAAAAAAATAATAATGAAAAACGATTTGAAACTTTGAATTTTAACAGTAGTGATGTCGTCATTTTGTGCTGGTGGTCAAACGAGTGTCTATATTTACACGTTTTTGGAAGTTACATTTTGGTTCCTTATCCTAATCTAATCCGGACCCTTTATCTCGATTTCTCTTCTGCCTCACGCTGCTACGTGGCAAACACCAACTCCCATTCTCTCTTTTCAAAGAACCCACTAGCAAAAGGCGGCAAAAAATAACGGAAAGGCAAGTCATATCTTGTCGGTTAAAGCGAAAAGGGTAAAAAAATAATAATGAAAAACAATTTGAAACTTTGAATTTTAATAGTAGTGATATCGTCATTTTGTGCTGGTGGTCAAACGAGTGTCTATATTTACACGTTTTTGGAAGTTACATTTTGGTTCCTTATCCTAATCTAATCCGGACCCTTTATCTCGATTTCTCTTCTGCCTCACGCTGCTACGTGGCAAACACCAACTCCCATTCTCTCTTTTCCCGATCTCGCAATCTCTCTCACTCTCGCAGTCTCTCTGACTCTCGCAGTCTCTCTGTCACTCTCTATCTTAAAGACACATTATTCTCAGTCAACCCAACAGCCAACAATGAGTCCAAGTCATCAATTGCTTAGTCTTTAAGTTTTCTATTGTAACTAATTCATAGATAGCTTAATTAGTTACATTAGTTGTTAACTAAATATTATTAGCTGCTGTGTATAAATACTCCAAATGTAACCAGTTTCATTTAATGAAAATACATTTCTTATATATCTCACCCTCCCTTAACTCTGTCCCTCTCATCCGTGCCCTCCCTCTCTACAAACCCTCACCTCCCTCACCATCATACCACATAACAACAACTAAACACCATCACCCCTGCGAACTAAGATTCGAAGAAAGAACACCCCAAACCTTATCTTCCTTTCGCCGGTACTGTTCATCATCTTCTCCATCGAGTTTCGTGATTTTCCAACATTGGTAAGCTTCTAAAAACCCTTGGGATGTGTTTTAGGGTTAGATCGAAGCTTGTTTTAAGTTGTGTATACATTTCAATCGCAGAAAATAGCTCGGGGAAGCTTTTCCAAATTTTCCAGCTAGCACCGCCCCTTTCGAGGAATGTTCCGGTCAAACCATTGCGAGTTGGCCGGCGTATGAGGTATCAATCTCTTTGTCTCGTCGAGAACTACAACTTTTATTTTTGTTTCACTTGATTTCATCGAGTAATGAATAAGTTATGAGCGTTTGAAAGTAGCCCAGAAACCAGCCAAAGAGTGGCCTGAAAACCACCCTCAACCCAGGCCTTTGGGCCGGGTTACCCAGCCAATTAACCCCAAAACCCAGCAGCCCAACCAAGGCCTTTGGGCCGAGAAACTAGGGCCCTTAGCCCGCTAAACTCTTAACCCGACCAAAAAGGGCTTCGGCCCATGAGCTTTAAACCCAACCCAAAACCCTTGGAATCTGAACCTTTTGAATTGAGACCTTTGGGCTGTTCACCTAGGGCCTTCGGCCCAATTCACCCAATACCCTTTAAACCCTAAAACCTATTGGACCCAAGCCCCTTAGGCCCAGACCCGTTGACTTTGACCCGATCAACTGTCAGCGTTGACTTTTTCGAGTTTCACCTGGAATCCCTCGTAGGCTAATTTCGACGTCCTGAATCCGTTTTTGAAATTCATTTTTCCAAATTAAATCATTTGAGTAGAGTTTTATTAATTGTATACTTTATGTGCTTAGGGGCAATTATCTGTGGCGTTTTCATCTTTACTAGTTTGCGTGTCTCTTCGGCAGCAAAGTATCTGTGAGTGGACCCTTTCTAAAAATGCATGTTTTAACAGTAGTAATGCATACATGAAAAGCATGATTTACTGATTACGTTTTATGAGACAACATGCTTATTGAGGTTATTTTGAATTATTACTATTTTTCCTATAACTCGTGTTCTTTATAAAATATTTGATGAATGACGATATAATATTTAGAACATGTTTTGAACATCTCTTTATAGTATAGATGATGAATGACTTTATACTATGAAGTTGCTTTTCAAATATATGTATGTTCAATGGTTTTGTTCTTACCTAGTAATTCCTTTCAATCTGTAAGTAGTAATTAGACTACTTTACTTTGACAGCTAATTTTTTATTTGTTTAAATAATTTATATATGAGATTTGCTACGGACACTCGCTCACAAGTCTCTACCGACTCGCTAGCCACGTAAGGATTGTCTTAGAATGTGTTGTGGTGTATGGGTCCGGAAAAAAATAACACAAGATCTGAAACTTGTGTACTTCAAGTGGAAATGGGAAATTAATGACAAAAAATTAGGAAGAAGAATTTGAGCAATTTGAACTCAAAATTTCTGTATTTTTCAATTCCAATTTCTACCTTAACCAGCATTTTCTAATTTTCCATCAAGCACGCAAAAAAAATCATACTCAAAGACTATATTGAATCTTCATAGGCAGAGCACCCATATTTCTCCCGCTCCAAATGGGGTTTTGAGATGGGTTTGGCAGTGAAGCCTGCCGTAGATGATTTGGCGGTGAAACTGTGAAGAAGATGGAAGAGAGAGGTGTACGTGGCTAGAGAGTCCAGGGAGACTGGCTTTGTATACAAGAGTCAAAATAGGAACAAGAACCCATAGAATTCCATAAACCTAACCCCTCACGTGCGAAATTATAGAAGATCCCCTTTAAGATCAAACAATTCCATCGAATTGAGTATGATTGTATGTGTGATAGCATCTACTATACCAGGAATATCAATGAACCCGATTATTGAAATTGCTCAGGATACCCTTTTTTAGCTTCTAGAATCTATTTCTTAGTTCAAGATCCCTCTTACTAACTGGAATCAAAGAATTTGTAGATCTGTTCCGCCCAAAATGGGAATGGGCTAGGGTTATGAACTTATAATCTATATATTAGAATTAAAAAGTAGTAATTTAATTGGTATAACCTTTCATTTTATACGTATTATAAAGTCTCACAAATTCTAGTCCTCCTACTTATGTGTGTATATGTGATATGCTCCACCGGAATCACAGGTTGAACGTGGCACAAGGTGTGGGTGACCATGGCATGGGCAGGTGTGTCTCTGCCTGCCAAAACAATCATTTATTATTTCTTTATCTAATTAAATAATCGTCTATATCTTTTTAAGAAAATGTTATGATATATTTTTGGGACACTTTAGATGCGATTCCTAATTATTAATATTGTTTGACTGAAATCTTGTTGGTTTTCAATTTTTGATCGAAATCTCTAAAATTAATGTGATATCGTATTTCTATGTAGGTTACTATATTTTTTAAATTAAAAATTAAAATTTATAGTTTGTATTAATGAGATTTTAAATTAAAAAAACCCATAATTTGTGGATTAAAATTATTAAAATATAAATTATACCATCCAATAGATTGTGTGTGTGTGTGTGTATGTATGTAAACATGGGTACATTCATCAAAAATTAACAAAAAAAAATTATTGTACCAAAATATGGGTACATTCTTCAAAACCACACAAAAAAAAAAAATAGATATTAGGCTGAATAACATTAGTAAATTTCTTTGATTAAAATTGACATGGATACATTCTCAAATCAAGAAAAAGAATGTACCCATATAAGTTTAAAAATGGATTAGAAAAAATTTGAACAGATTTTATATAAAAAAAAGGGTACATTTCACTACAACAAATTGGTATATTTAAGAATAGGTACATTTTAAGATTAAAAAATTAAAAAATTACATGAATGGGTACATATAAGATTAAAAAATTGGAAACCTTTTCATAAAAAATTAAGGGGTACAAACTTATTCTAATTTTTTATTTATTTTGGAAATGATTTGAATTGAAAATTAGTTAGAAGTTTAATAAATGTGTGAGTACTAAAATCCTAAATAAATTATTAATTTTTATTTTAAAAATTATGTAACTGATATGGAAATTCATTATTACATTAATGCTAGGGACCTCGATCAAAATCTGAAAACTAATAAGGTTTCAATCAAAGAACATTAGTAACTTAAGGACTGGATACTAATTTTTTCTATATTTTTATACCACAATTGTACAATTGTGTATGGTTTAAAGTATCGATATACAAATTTATACAAATATCAATAAATATATCGATATCAGTATAAGTTACCTTAAACAAAGCTCAAAACGTGAAAATTTAAGATGGCACTTTATGGAATGTCATATCAAACTACAATACATATATTGATAAAAAAAAAAAAAAAATTAAATACTAATACTATATATCATTTCAATCTTTTGGGATATGTACAAAGCATGCACACAATGTGCACAACAATATGACCAAAATAGGATTTTCTTAATACTTAAAATGACCAAATTCCCTCGTATATAAATGGGTTATTTCGATCAATAGGTCTCTCTCTTGTTTCTCCCTCCGGCAGTGTTGGCGGTCCAATCGCCCCCAGCTTTACTTTTGCCACCGTGCTACCGTACGGTTTCCATCACCCCCTCACCTACCTCCAATCTTGTTTGCCCTCTTTGCGGTCGCGGCTTCCTGGAAGAGATGGAAACCCTTAATCCTAACCCTTAACCCCACCCCAATCCTTTCTTCTCTTTCCGCTCATCTGACGCTCCTCCCTTTGCCTCCAGCAGATGTCCCCTCCTATTCTGTGCCTGCGCGCAAGAATCTCTCAGAATAATCCACTCTTATTTCCTTTTTTTCCTACTACTTTTGATTTGGGTAACCCTTGATTTTAATGGGTAGAGTTGAAGGCAGCTGGGAATAAATTAAGTTGATAAAATGTCATGATTAGTGAATAAGTGTTTGTTCACTTTGTTTGTTCATCAACTTCAAGCAGATTAATTAAGTCATAACCAATAAGTAATTTTCATTGCTGACACGACATGCACATGATATGATCACAAATCTGAGCTTTTCATAGTTTGTCATTTTCTGTGCATGTTATGTGCACAATGCAAGCATGGTACTAAGTATGTGCATATTATGTGCATGGTAAAAGATAAAACTTTCCTTAACTATACCTTTCATTAAAGATAACTAAGTCATTTTCTTAACTATACCTTTATTAAGTAATAACCTTCCTATGCTTACAAAATATTTTGGTCATAACATTATTACTATATAGCGATTTTATTGTAAATGAGTCTCCTCCAATCATATTGGATCACTTTTCCCTTGCACAATCACACACTCGTCAACAATCATGAGTATTGTATTAAAATGTAAATTATCTCAAGGACATATATGCTAATTTTATCATAAATTTCATATATTTGTAATCATATTCATATTCATGTGCATTTAGCATTATTTTGTTATTATTCGAACAAATTTAAACTGTGTATTTAATAAATGGCATGAATGATTTCTTGGTAGAAATCATGAATGATTTCTAGTTGTCATATAATTCCATATAACTTCATTAAAAAGTTAAATAACAAGGAACCCTTAACATTATCTTCCATCGTTTCTATGATTGAAGTTTAACTACAGAATAGTTCATGCATCAAACTAAACAAGTATGGGGAAATTAACAATAACAAACACGATAAATTTGACAGGATTTGAATATAGTCGGTGTAAACCTTTCTTTGAGGCTGTGCAAGCTGGCCGTTGGGAAACTGCAAAAGACTTTTACATCCAACATCCGGAGGCAGTAAGAGTAAGACATCCATCTTCTGGGAAGACAGCTCTTCACATTGCAGTTGAAGCTGGGCATGTGGATATTGTCAGAGAATTGGTGTCGTTGACAGGATTTGATTATAGTCGGTGTAAACCTTTCTTTGAGGCTGTGCAAGCTGGTCGTTGGGAAACTGCAAGGGACTTTCACATCCAACATCCGGACGCAGTAAGAGTAAGCCATCCATTCTCCGGGAAGACAGCTCTTCACATTGCAGTTGAGGCTGGGCATGTGGATATTGTGAAAGAATTGGTGTCGTTGATGGAAGAGGGCGACTTGGAAATAAAATCACAGGGTGATCTGACAGCTCTTGCTATTGCTGCAATTAAAGGGATTACCGAAATGGCTCAATGCATGGTAACAAAGAACAAAAAATTACTCAGCATTCCCAATGTTGCAAACGACACTCCACTTGTGCTAGCTTGTTTGTATGGTCATTGGCATGTGGCTCGATATCTCTACTCCGTCACTCCACTTGAAGATTTAATGCCAGACAAAGGACCTCATGGCGCTACAATAATCTCCAATTGTTTTCTATCCAAAGAATTTGGTAAAAGTTATTAAATATGAGTACTAACATGCTGTTGAGGACTACAAAAATGAAAATTAAGGGTTATTTTAATAATGATTTCAGTTGTTTAGTAAACTACTTCCAAATTTCCAAAAAAAAAAAAAAAAACTGAAATTCGAAGTTTGAAAACCGAAAAAATAGCTTTCAGTTTATTTTTTATTTTTTATTATTATTATTATTATTTTTTAATGAAACCTGAAAATTAAAACTATTTATCAAACAAGTTTTGGGTTTTCAAATTAAAATCGTGATTACAAAACTAGCTACAGTTTACTCTTTTTCCCATAGCTACAAATTATTATAGCAAACTAATTATTTTGAAAAATTCTTAACGTTTAAAATAAACAGATATCTCATGGGATTTAATTAACCGTTGCTCAAAATTGGCCCTTACTTCGATCGACGGATACGCGGCCTCCTTAGAAATTTTGGCTCGTTGGGCTTCTTCATTCCGGAGTGGAGTGGAGCTCAATTTCTGGCAACAACGGATTTATGACAGTTAGTGTACAACATACTCCCTTCACTTTCTATTAATTATTTGCTTTCACTTTTATGACATTTTTTCTTGTCTTGATAGGCATAGACATACAACCTCCTCGTCGCATCAACCATATTTCTGTAACTGTTCAAAATGAAGAAAATTCCCAAGCTAATAACGGAAGGAGGTCAATTCGCTCAGGTTTGCTATCCCCTTCCTCTCCCATCATTAACAAGTTAGGAAGTGTTGCATAAAAGGTACGATCTACTTTGGGTTATCCACTTCGAATTCCTGATTAACTTTAACCAAGGGAGGACATGATATTTATCTTTACTTGTATGTAGAAGGTCTCAATTATAACTCACATAGATGACAAGTTCGACACTAAATTAGTATCACTAATACCTCCCTACCTTGCTAAATTTGAGAGATTATTAGGCGAGTTTTCTTCATTTGTGGAGATTATTGGGAGCATAAGTGCATGTTTGGCAATGAGAAATACAAAATGCGTTTGTGTTAGTTTTTAAGAATAGACCCATAAAAGGAAAATAACAATAATGAATTTGAATTTACTACAATTTTCTCTAAGACCCTGCTTCCTATAAATAAGTACTCTACTTAAAAATTCAATTCTCATCATTAGCTGTTTAACCCATTAAAAAAAATACAAACTTAAATTAAGAAACAGTTGAAAAGATATGATATCAACACACCTAGCAAAAGTAAGGCCAAATGCCTTCGAAGAGATATGATATCAACTACCACATATTCCAGTGATGTTCAAGACCAAAACTTTCAAACATTAAAAACAAAAAAAATGCATTACTACCAAGAAAACTCAATGCAATACTCGCAGGCGTTGGATGCAATGAAGCTCACTTTACCACATTCCCTTCTTGCCTATAACTTTTAAGAGTCCCACAGCTTTTATGAATTGAAAAATAAAGCTTTTACAGAACATAGTCGAAAGAAAATGCGATGAGCTAAGAACAATATATTGAAAATAGACAAACAACTTACGTCTCTGTGGAAAATCTTCGTCAACTTTCAACTTCTTAGATCAAAATCCTTACGTTTCTTAGATCGAAAATTGAGGAAATTCGATTACGAGTTTGTAGAAACTAACATGGGGTTTGGAAAGAGGACGGGAAGAGGATTATGGAGATATAATTTGACAGTCGTTGATGACCGGTGGACCGCAGCGCCGTTGCGTGAAAGAGAAGAGGGAGCGAGGATGCAGGAGGGAGGAGAGACTTCTCCAAGGGGGTGAGAGGAGAGAGGATTAATAACTTTTTTTTTTCATAATTTTTATAAATTGTATTTTACACAACAGGCACGATATATTTATACAAAATTTACATATTATTTAAATATACTAAACGCTAGGGCCTCGTTTAGTAGCTTCTGTAAAGGCACAAAAGCCTGTTTGTCACACATTATATACTATTTAACAGATCCTATTTTTAGAGACAAAAGTTTTTGTGTCTTATGTTCTGTCAAAAAGTTATCAAGCCGAAGTATACATGTCTCACTTTTCATAGTTTCCGTGGCCGAGACAATGTACTATAAAAAAATGAGAACTTAAATGTGTGAGGTCTAATTACTGTCATATTTAGTGGTATCTTAGGATAGGACTTGAAGCATGTTGGTTAAAAAGTCAACTGTTGGTCAAACTGGCCCCTCTAGGGTTATGAAACCCTTCTTGGTCTACAAACATTGAATTTCCATTATGCAAGTTGCATTAGGTCGGTCGTACATCTAACAACATGCTCCATGAGTTTCACCAACATTTTTTCCATTGCAGTCGGAGGTTTAGTGGAACAGCTTGTTTCTCATTCAAAAAAGCAGAAGGAAGGGCTTGTTTCGAAAATCGTTGAGATACTTGGTATGCTAGTAACAATTTCATTTGTCGTAAATTGAAATTCAAATCAATTATTCAAAGTAGCTTCAGTTCTAAATATTTAGGCTTTAAATGTCGAACTCAGGAATCAAACGCATATATGAAATGAAGATTGTCCACGTCAACTCACTTGCATTTTTAAAGCTCGCGTGCGAAGAGATAAATAAAGATTTGGAAATGCATCAAATGAGTTATCCCAATGCGAATTGTGCAATCTTCGAAGCTGTTAGGAATGGGAATGTGGAGTTTATTACTCATATATGTAAAGCAAATCCTGAACTTCTGTGGCGAACAAATGACGAGGGAAGGTGCATATTTGCCTTTGCCATTGAATGTCGTCAAGAAAAGATTTATAACCTTCTATATGGGATCTCTGCGAAAGAGCGGGTGATGCAGATTACCGATAGCGAAAGTCATACCAAGCTACACATGGCTGGGCTGTTGTCCCCATCTGCACAAGCACAACTTAATCGTATTCCAGGGGCAGCATTGCAAATGCAGCGTGAACTGCAATGGTACAAGGTTAGGATTTCTGATTCGACATAATTCTTAATTACGTTGCCTATATGACATATAAACTGAAAGAATCAAATTAAGTATTCGGGAGGTTCTGAATTTGTTTTCCCTTTTTGTAATAATCACCCAAATCAGCATCAACTATTAGGGACTGGGGGAGGGAGGGAAGAATTGGACTCGACACTTCGGGAAAATGTTCGTAACCAACTGAATTACAAGTCCCCATTATCCACTTCCTAGGTGTTGTTATCCTAAAACGTTTCTTGCATTAAAGGTGCTGCATTTTGAAAGAGAGTTATTTGCTTTTTCGATTTATTGTAAGCAGATGTTCAACCTAACACAAGTTGTAAATTTAACACAATCTTAAAACCTTAATGTGTAAAATGTTAAAATTGAACATCGTGACCAATTGTAGGTGCTCTCATATGTCAGTACAAATGTTAAAATTAACACAACCTAACACATGTTACCAACCTTGGAATGTAAAATGTACCTAGTTAATCCTAATATAATAAAGATTATAGAAAATTATGTTTTATGCTCTCATAAGTCAGTACTTCTTGTTCAATGCAATGCAGGAAGTAGAGACTATTATACCTCCTAGGTTTCTTGAGTGGAGGAACAACGAAATTTTGACAGCAAGGGAACTATTCACAAAGAGTCACAGTGGATTGCTAAAGGAGGGAGAAAAATGGATGAAAGAGACAGCAACTTCTTACACTGTTGTAGGTGCTCTTATTATTACCATCATGTTTGCTGCAATAATCACAATTCCTGGAGGAAACAAAGATACCGGCTTTCCCGCATTCATCGATGAAAAATTGTTTATGTTATTTATGATTTCAGATGCTATATCACTCTTTTCTTCCACAACTGCTACGCTGACGTTTCTCGGAATTCTCACATCACGTTACGCAGAAGATGATTTCCTAAAGTCCTTACCCACACAGATGATAATTGGTCTTGCCACTCTTTTCTTCGCTATTGCAACCATGATTATTGCGTTTTCTGCTGCCCTTCTAATTATAGTTCGTGGACATTCTTGGATTGTGATTCCAACCATACTTCTTTCAAGTGTTCCAGTTACTTTATTTGCTTGGATGCAATTCCCCCTCCTAGTTAGAATTACCATTTCTACTTACGGGAAAGGAATATTTAATAGGAATGTGGAACGTTGGTTGTAAAGCTATTTCATTCTTTTATATTTCTTATTGTATCTGTTTATGTGGGATCCTAAAATTAGAGGTGTAACTGATTTGATGGATTATATATTAAGGAATAAATTGGTGGTTTATGAGGGACCTTTCACTTACAAGTGAAGAGAAACACCACTAGACCGTATTACTAAGGGAAGTCTTTGTTTTTCTGTGTTGACTAATTCGTTTTTGTTGTTTGATGAATGATATGATTGTAGTTACTACATTACAGGTTCGAATAAGAACCCCACAAGGCACCCAACAGGATGAGCACATGAACTACTCATTCAGATTATCGCATCATCTTTAAGACAATAGACCAGTTCACTAATGAAACCAAGAAAGAAAGGAAACGAAAAGCCATAAGTAAATTTAAATTGTAGCAAAAGCTATTTCATTACCTTCATGGCCAGTTCACAAACTGGGAATCCAGATGAAGTAGTTTTACATCTAAGCACTATGATGTTGAACATAGATATATCAATCACAGTAAGAACTGAAAGTTTTTTCAACCTGATGCACCCAACGATAGATCTTGTCCCAACCTCTAATGTTACAGACAGTAGAGGTTTAACCATATAATGCACACCATGGCTCCCGATCGTCTTTTGATTTTCTTGTTGGATTCCATGTGATCTTGTCTCTTGAAAAGGAAAGGTTCAAGGTGCTTGCTAAAAGTTCTCCAATCTCATAAAGTATCTGAAAAAGAAACCATCTAGAGTTAGACAATATACGTACACTCGGGAAACAGACAGATTGATAGACAAGTAAAGGGAAGAGAAAGAAACAAGGCTAAGCGACTTACTTTCAGCATTGGAACATGGAGAAACTGAGCATACACTATTTTTCCCATTCATCTCTCGAGCAAATCGTAGAAATACAAATTACTATCCTATCATGGCCTCCAAACCCTACTTGAATTCAACCATATGTCACAACAATTCTAGGTAAACTGAATGTTGACAGTTGCATTAGATAAAGTAATAAAAAAGCTGTATACCTGAAACTCTTCTTTATCAGAAATGTGACCTCTTTGCCCGATAAGAACATATATTGGCAACTTCAAATACGGACCAACTGAAGAAAGCAAGCCAAATGTTCATGATGAATCTGCAAGGATGGCGGTGGCTTCTGGGTTTTGGTTGCCATAGCCTTGCTTATGGCTGTTTCTGAACCAATCTCTATACCATAAAGTGAACATTTGCTTTCAAATTTTGTTGCAGATTTACTTTCCCCCTTTAGCTTGGATGACTCTAGGAAAAACGGGGCAACGACTGTAGAAACTGAGGATGAATTTCTATAATACCGCAGGCTAGTATTGGCGGTTCATATTCCATAAGCAGCACAGGCACCTGAAAAATAGAAAATTGAAGAGAAATTTTTTATAAAGCTCCCCTAATTTGTTATCTTCAAGATATGTTAGAAGATAAATACTTCTGTCCTAGTAACTCAAGCCCAACAGCAATAAATCGACAAACTTCAACACAATATCAAAGCTGTTGGCTCACATCCTAACAACTAAAGCATTTCAGAGCAGTGGTAGATCGATAAACTTTATGAAAAACAGAAAACTGCATAAAAAAAATAATGTGGAACCTTCCACTGTTATCGTCACCGCATGAGTTCTGAAACACAAAGGAACAAAATTTTTACAAAGTAATTTAATGGGTTTCTACCACTATGGGCATAGAAACCAAATCTACAAGCATTCTTTGAAAAACGCCTGCAATCAAGTCCCTTTAGACCTTACAGATCACTCACAATTTCATAAAACCGAGTCGATTTTATACCCCACATGGTTTTGAAAAACTAACATCATTTTCAATTTCAATCACTCACTATCTAAACCCCAAATTGTCACAAATTTCACCTTTCACCATAAAAACTAGAACACGTTCCATTAGAAAATACACGACCCATTTCTCAACACCCAAATCCCACATAGAATCTAATCTATACTAATACAAACCCGTTTCTGGGTCCTAAACAATTCCATGAGAGACAGAGGGAGAGAGAGAAGGGGAACCTCATATTGGCCCTGGGGATCGAGGAAGTGGCGAAGGATTCCAGAAGCTTTGCAATTTTGGATTCCATAGAGCTCCAAAGAAAGCTCGAAACTTTCTTCTCTGCAACAAATTGACGCATCGAAATCAATCGATATAATATGAATTTGATCTCAAACTTAAAAGGGTTGATAGGAAGAGATCTTACACAGTATAATTGCTTGGACTTGGGCGGAAAGCAGCTGAGATGGCTTCGCCGAAGCCCTCTGAGTCTCTCAGCAGAAACACTACCTTCGAACCAACCTTCATTTTCTTCCTGCTCTTCCTTCTAACCAATAGGAGTGCCACTTATTTTTTTTTGTTTTTTTCTCTATTTTAATTTTTTTGGTTTTTTTTTTTTGTTTTTTGATTGTTCCAAAAATGCCATGGCTTTAGGTCGGTTTTGCGCGTATAATGAAAACCGCCGTCTAAACTATCAATCCGAATGCTGAGGGAATGATTCATGAGCTTCTTACACCATATGATCGTCACCTTCCGCCAAAATGTCGCAATATTTGCAAGGTAGACGCAAGTCACCGTGCTTTGTGCGGTTTTCGTTGTCACAGGGTCGTCTGTGATCTTCTCTGCAAATGGTGGAGGGTCATATAATGATTGACCTCGTATTGATCGACTCAAAGACTGCATCTTTGCAAATGTAGATGCTTTCTCGAAACAATAATGCTAGAGTCGCGAAATTTGTTCACCAAAACCGACATATACTTCCTATAGAAGTTGATGATTTGAAAAAATTATAATAATATTGCGAATTGAGGATGAGAAAGAGATGTGTAATGTTTAAGATTTGATCAGTAGTAATTTAATAATCAAATATTTCTTGCCACCTCCATTTTCATGTGCTACACCAACAAATATGTAAAATTGTTGGGTTAGCAATCATTGAATAGGTTAGGTAAAAAGTTTCACATTGAATTTTTTTTTTTTTTTTTTTTTTTTTTTTTTCAATTGTGGATCTTGAAACCTAATGCTAATGAGAATGAAAGGGGATTGGATATTTGGAACTTACAACTTAACCTCTTGGGATCTTTGGGATTCTTGGTGCCTTTGGATATGGCCTATTGACATGGATGGAGATTGATGAGAAACTGGTTTGACAAAGAGGGGAGAGAGAGGGGTTGGTGAAGAGAGTGACGAGGAAGATGCCTAGAAACTTTGAACTTTAGTTTGTTAGGGTAAAATTGGCAATCCTTGACAAATTGCCTGAGTCTGTAATAGCTTAGACTTGTTATATATTTTCAATTGTATTAGTTTAAGTCTAGGAAGGGTTCTCACACTTTCGATGCAAAGATGTTACCTACACGCGATAAATATTCAGGTACGTTTGCATGCATGCATCCAACTACATTCATCTATATTTCATATTATTGTTTTGAGATAGGACTCTTAACCATTGTGTGGTTTATCTTTTCAAATAACTTATCCTTTCTTTATCACTTAATAAAACACGCATGCAAAAGAATCTGATTGTATTGGAACTTATCAAACTGAGTGTTCAAACCGTGTTTTGAAACTTAAGTGATTGCATGTTGGTGGGAGTCATCTAACTCATGGATGCCGTCCTTATCAATTAAAACGGTTGTGGTGCTTTTTGATTATATATGGGAAGTCAGGGACGTGTTGGTTTGGGAGCCGCATATATGCATGTTTTTCTTGGAAGATATATGTGCAGCAACTTTGTGATTTTAAAGCATATAACATTATTTTTCAGTGGCTGCCATATGGTGGTTTTTCATTAGCATGTGTTTTTAAAGGGAACCATTTATGCAGAGAAACTGATTTTATTGAAAAGGATTTCTGAAGAAGCATCAGTTGGGTTTTTCGTGTGCGTGAAAAAATAATTGAAATACTGTTGTTTGCTTATGGTTCCAACAGCATGGGTTTTTAAGAGAAGATATTATTTTTCATGCTGTTTTTCTTTGAGGTTTTAAATTGAATATCAATTATGGAAATGAGCCTTGTGATTTTCGTAATTGATTGTTTTC